GGGCATCAGCTAGTATAGACAGTGTCCTTAGCCTGACCCTGTGTTGAGTTCTTGAAACACAAAGACAGGCAGCGTGGGGGAGGTGGGGAAAGGTGGGCGGGGGGGGGGGGGGTGCTACCTGGCCCTCAGAGGTAGCTGGGAGGCTGAGTGGCCCAGTCAGACTGGCTCCTAATCCTGCCCCTGCTGCCTCCCAGCTGGGTGACTGAACAAAGCACTCAATTCCTCTGAGCCTGTTTCTTTATCTGGAAAAGGAGTAAATGGCAGGACGCACTCGACAGGGTTTTATGAAGATTAAATGAGGTAATACAAGAAAAGTGCTTAGTCTAGTCCCAGGCAGTGCGCCAGGGCCCAATAGGTATTGGCTGAGAAGCTCCAAACCCTTCTGAGATGGGGCTCCCTCCCTCCCTTTGGCTCTGCGGTCCAATGCTCAGCAGTGAAAGAACAAGGTGGGGGGGGAGGCACGCACACACGCATACACCCGCTCACATGCTTTTACACAATAAAAATTCGAAGAATCACAAATCAATTCTAACCATGTTTTTCTATGGGGTGAGATTATGGGGGGGGGACTTTAACTTTTATATTACATAGCTCTGTTGATTATGTTAATTTTTTTAATAAGATTTTATTTATTTATTTGAAAGAGAGAATGAGAGACAGAGAGCATGAGAGGGAGGAGGGTCAGAGGGAGAAGCAGACTCCCTGCTGAGCAGGGAGCCCGATGCAGGACTCGATCCCAGGACTCCAGGATCATGACCTGAGCCGAAGGCAGTCGCTTAACCGACTGAGCCACCCAGGCGCCCTGATTATGTTAATTTTATAATCAGAAAACAATCCCTTAAAAATTGTTGGGTGCTGCTCAGTGGTAGGCACAGTATCAGGCACTTTTGCTACAGCACCCCTAACCCTTAGAACATCCTTCCCAGGGAGGTCATCTTATCCCCATGTTATAGATGAGCAGTGGGGGAGGCTTAGAGAAGTGAAGTGACCTGACCAAGGACACACAGCTCATCAATGATGATGTTAGGATCTGACCCCAGTATTGGAATCAAGTTCAAAGCAATTCTGCTTTGGCAGGTCAGGGAAAGCTTCATGGAGGAGGTGACATTTGAGCTGAGCCTCGAGCTTCTCTAGGCCAAGGTTCTCAACCAGGGGTGACTCTGACCCAGGAGACATTTGATGAAGTCTGGAGATGTTTTTGGTTGTCACAGCTTGGTGGGGTGGGAGGGTGGAGGGGGTGAGGGGAGTGGGAAGCACTGCTGGTTAGCGCTAGTGGTCAGAGGCCAGGGATACTCCTAAACATTCTACAATGCACAAGATTGCCTTGCACACAAAGACTTACCTGGCCCCAAATGTCAATAGCGCCCAGTATGATAACATACTACAGCTGTCATTTACTGAGTGCTTACTATGTGCCGAGTGCAGTACTAAGTTCTTGCAAATGCCATCTCATTTCATCCGCCCCCCCCCTTTTTTTTAAGATTTTATTTATTTGCGAGAGAGAGAATGAGAGACAGAGAGCATGAGAGGGAGGAGGGTCAGAGGGAGAAGCAGACTCCCTGCCAAGCAGGGAGCCCGATGCGGGACTCGATCCTGGGACTCCAGGATCATGACCTGAGCCGAAGGCAGTCGCTTAACCGACTGAGCCACCCAGGCGCCCTCATCCGCCCCCTTTTGCTGTCAATGAGGGACTCGAAGCTCAGAGGTGGAAGTAACTCTTCTAAGGCCACACTGCCAGAAAATGGTAGCACCAGGACTGAAGCTGCCCAGTACAAAGCCAGAGTTCTTCACCTTTCTGCTCTGCTGCCTCCAGGATTTATAATAAATGTAAAAGCTGCAGGCCAACCGCTCGGTGGGATGTGAGGAGACTCCAGCTGAGCCCAGGCACAGCCTCCTCTTGGCCTCGGGCCTGGGGCAAGGTCTGCTCCCTCCTCCTCTGCCACTGCCCCATCTGTCAAGTGAGGGTTGCACCAAAAGATCTCCAAGGCCCTGCAGCTCTGAGTCTGTTATTCTCCAGGAAAGGGGCCCAAGCCCAGGCTCTAGGAGAGCCGCGAGAGGAGGGGGTGTGCCGGGCAGGCTCAGCCTCATTCCCGGTGCACACGTAGTGAATGAGCCCTGCTCTGTTGATTATGTTACCCCACAAGGTGAGAGAGGCAGGTGGGGTGGGGAGTGGCTTGACCTTCACCCAGGAGTTCCCCACTCCAGGGCGGAAGGCATGTTTCTCTGCCACCTTCTTGCCAAGCCCAAAGGAGGAGCCAAAGCAAGGTCTCCTCTCAGGCAAGAGAGGCTGGGCTGGGCATTTGCCCAGCTGGGCACGTGAGGTCTCACAGGTAGAAGGAGAAAGGATGGGAGGGGGCATGCTGACCCAGCCCCTCCCCTGTGCCAACCATCTCAAACAGCAATTCACCTCAGGTCAGCCTCCTGAAATCCTGGTAGGAAAGAACCATTGTGACCCTAGTCTACAGACCAGAGCATCAAGGCTTACATGAAGGGACTTGCCGAGTCACACAGACAGGGCTGAAGGAAGGTTTGGAGCCCAAGTCTATCTGACCGCAGGATAGTGCACTAGAAGGTAGGTGAGTGGCCGTCTTGTTCTTTTCACCGAGGAGTAAAAGTGTTTCAATAACATTTAGAGAAAATACACATTTAATTTCTCCTGCATTCCCCAGGACATGGAATGGATTGCAAAAAACCGAAAACACAATTGTTCTGATTTCCTGGTTTGCACTCAGGGGAACCCAGGCTCAGAAGGCAGAGGCCTCTCTAGCTAGAAAGTAGACAGGGAGAGGAGGAGCTACGCGGCAGAGGAGGGATCTGGCCTGGGGCAGGCGGAGCTTTCTAGCCTGGCTCTCTCATTGTCTGGTAGTGTAGCTTTGGGACAAGTCCCATCACCTCTCTGGACCTCAGTCTCCACATCTATATTAGGAAGAGGTTGGACAGATGGTTTCAGACAGAGTCCCTTCAAACCCTCACCACCTGCACCCAGCCGTGTCAAAGTTTCTCCCCTTCCTGTTTATGTGACTTCACAGATGGAGAGATGGGGATACTAGGGCCCGGCACAAAATGCTCTGGGGATAGAGGGCCCATGCCAGCCTGTGCAAGCTCCCAGAGCCCCCAGTTCTTGCTCTCCATCCTCAAAAAGCCAGACTGGGAGGAAGTCAGCCATGGTTTGGGGATGAAAAGGGCAGGGAGGGAGAGATGGTGAACATGGGGCCATTTCTCCTGGGCCAAGGGTCATCCACAGACATCTGCTAAGTGCAGGCTGACTTGCAGAGACTCATGTTGGTTGGGGGGGGCGGTGCGGGGAGGACACATCCTACAACGTAGGGGAAAGTAGTTATTTAGCTCCTGCTTAAGCATCTCAAGGGCCAGGGAGCTCACTGCCTGCCAAGTTAGTCCACTGCATATTAAAAAAAATGAGTGAAAGATCTGCTTCCAAAGGCTCCAGTCTGGGACTGCTCAGGCCAGAATTGGTCATTCACTCATTCATTATTCAAACTTTACTGATGAGTACTGACGTGCCAGGCTTTTGGGCCATAGATATGATGAATTACAGACCGTCTCTGCTCTTTGGGAACTGTGTGCTAGACTGATATCCTAAGGTCAAAGATACAGGACTGGTGGATTGAAATGGTTTAGGTGGAGGTAAAGATTCTAGACTTCCAGGCTGAAATAAGCTTGGGTGCCATTCTAGTAAACACATTAAATGGATTTCTTTGCTACAAGATTTCTCCAAACCTTTAATATGCAAAATGTACATGGAGAATCCTCCAAGGGGGTATCGAGAATATACTATATTCCCCAATATAGCTGATCTTGGAACACTACTTTTTAAAACAGCACACTTATTAACAGAGGATATTTGAGGAAATGCAGCCCTAATGCCTTTTTTTTTTTTTTTTTTTTGGCCAGGGGAGCTTGGGGAAGCCTTACACTGAGAGGACATTCGAGCAGGGCTTTGAGAACTGAGTAGGAGTTGGTCAGTGACGATGGGAATGTTTACGGGAGATCATTTATAGTCCTGGGCTGACTATGCTCAGGTTACCCTGCATATACTGTTTCATTTAGTCTTCAAAGGTCTTGATAAGGGTGACAGAGCCAAGGAGGTCATCAAAAGCCTCTGGAGACTCCCAGAGATCCACCCCCTTCCCTTTTCTTGAATCACCCCACTTCAGGTCCTTATTCTCCAAATCTTGAGTCTTAAGTCCTGTTCCCACTGTCAACCTGGCCTCTCCTCTGGTTTAAACCCAAAATAGTTTCTTACAGTACCTGGACTTGATCCCAGCTTTAATCCCTCACACACCCTGGCCTAGGCCTTGGCACCCAAACTCACCCTCTCTGCAGTTTAGATGGCCATAACTTAGACCCTCTCTCAGATTTCATCCTGCCTGCCCAGCGCAATCTAGCCCTGGTACTGCCCCCTAGATCCTGATGCACACCTGATTGAGACCCGCCCCATGGTGCCCCAAGCCTGCCCCTCAGCTACCCCAAACAGTCCTGACCCATTCCCGGACGGCGGCCCCGCCCCCTGTCTAGACTTGATAGTGTTCCCATTCCCATCTGCGTCTTCGTCCCAACTCTGTCCTGAACCATTCATTTGTGGACCCTGCCTTCAGGTCCAGGCCCCTGACCCCAGACAGTAGCCCTCCAGCTCTGATTCGTCCCCGTCCCCAACCCTGCCCCAAGCCCGTACCTGGGCCAGCTCTGACCTCACTGGTGCCGGCCATGCCACTCCATGGGTGACCCCTCCCCAACCAAGGACCCACCCCCACTTCGGGTCTGTCTCAGACGCGGCCAGACGCGACGGCCCTAGGCCCCGCCCCCATCGCCCCGCCCTCTCATCGCGGCCCCGCCCCGTCCCCGTCCGGTACTAATTCTGATAGGGCCCTGACCCTGCCGGCGGCCCCGCCCCGTGACAATTTTGACTAGGCCCAGCCCACGGTCCAGCCCTGACCCCGCCCCCGGCCCCGGCCCCGCCCCCGGCCGGCCGGGCAGCTCACCTGCAACTCCTCGAAGGCATCGTCGATGCCGGTGACCTGGTGCTGCTCGTGCAGCGCCGGCTCATCGCAGAAGAAGCAGAGCAGCGCGCGGTCCGTGAGGCAGAAGAGCTTGACCTTGTCGTGCGCCTGGCAGGGTCGCGCCGCGCGGCGCGCGTTGAGGATGGCGTCCAGCGGGAAGGCACTGTAGCGCTCCACGATGTTGGCTAGCTTGAGGCTGGGCGCGAGCGCGGGTTCGGCGAACGTGCGCCTGCACTCGGGGCAGTCGCGGGCGCCCTGCGCCTCCTGCCTCACCCAGTGCTCAGTGATGCAGCGGCGGCAGAAGTAGTGCTCGCAGCCCAGGCTCACCGGGTCCTGGTAGATGCTCAGACAGATGGAGCAGAGCAGCTCGTCCTTGAGGCTGCACGCCATGGCGCTGGGGGCGGCGGAGAGGGGGCCCTGAGATGCAGGGGGGCGGCTGAGCGAGCGCGGCGCTGTCGGGGGCCGCACCGAGGGATGGGTGCCGGGAGCAGGCGGGGAGAGGCAAGAGTAGGAGCTACAGAAGGAAGGGGGGCTGTCCGGGAGGGAAGGGGGAGACGCGAGGAAGAGGTGCAGGGTAGAGACTAGTCGGGATGCGAGTCCAGGAAGGTGGTCTCGAGGTAGTGGGTGACTCGAAGCGATGGGTGCTGGAGGGAGGGGGCCTTGGTGTCTGAGGGAAGAGGCTCCTGGCAAGGAGGTTCTAGAGTAAGGGACAGTCTGAAGGGATGGGTGCTGGGAGAAGAGGATCCAGGAGGGGGGCGGAGGCCTTAGGGGGTGCTGAAACCCCTGGATGGGTGCAGTGGGGGGAGGGGGAGAAGCTGGGGATGGGGAATTCTGGGGAAGGGGGAAGCCAGGCGGAGCTGCGCCGCGGCTGTGCGTGGCAGAGGAGAGGAGGGGTGCGAGCAAGCTCAGCTGCCCGATCCCGGCCCCAAGACCCCGCCCGGCGTGGCCCCTTACCCCTGCCGGCTCAGCGGCCACTGCTCAGGTCCGAGCGCAGCCTCTCAACCCGGAACCAGCCGAGCGCGAGCTCCCGGCGGCAGTGACTCCCTCCCCGCCCCGCGGGCCGGGCCCTGGCGACTCCGCCCCTACGGCGGGCGGGGGAGAGGAGAGGCGGGGCCAGGCGTCCAGCCTGCGGACCCCCTCTCCGCCCCCACCGTTCCCCTACTCCCCCGGGACCGAAACCCAGCTGTTCCTTCAGGATCTGCACACAGAACAACGTGCGCGTGTCGTTTAGGGTCGCTGCGGCGGGTGAGGACAGCTAATTTAAGAGGATAACGAGTAAACAAGGAGCATCTTTCTGGATCATCGACTTGAAGATTTTGGAAAAATAATATTTTTTAATAAAACAAGAAAGGATATGTCCTGTAATCTGTACAGAATACAACCTTTGCATAAAATGTAAAGATAAACTCGAGAGAATGCCTGCTTGCTTAGGGCAAGTTCAAGATTTCCTCTTCACTTTCTTAAGGAGTGCTTGGGGGAGAAGTTTAGAAAGTCCAGACCGGCTACTGTGTGACCCAAGGTAGCCTCCATTCAGTAAACATTTCCGGGGTTTTTATATTTTGTGTGTTTGTGTGTGTGTGTGTGTGTGTGTGTCTGCCCGCGCGTGCGTATGTGTTTGGCGGGTGGGGAGGGTGGAGCAGGAGAGAAGGAGAGAGTAATAGGAGACCTTATCTTGTATGCCAGATGGAGAGGGGATAAGGGATTTCTAGATAGAGGGGACAGCACAGAGGCGTGAAAGGGGAGGGCACTTTGAGGGAAGTGCAAGTAGTTCTATACTGTCGGCGGTGGGGTGGGGAAGGCAAGGAGTGGAGGGTGCTGTGGGTCACAGTAAAAGATTTCCTGGAGGCACTGGGCTTTCAAGCGGAGGAATGACTTGGTCTGGTGTGGGTTTCAGGGAGTCAGAGAGATGCTCCTTATTCCATCAGCAGGGTGAAGGCAGGGATCCTTTCTGATATGTCTGCATATGCGCGGTGCTTGGTACTCATTACAGCTGTGTAGCTGAGTAACGGCAACAAAGATGGAGGCTGCGAAAGAAAGACTGGCCCCAGTTAGATCACTGTTGTCACAGTGCCTGCAGGGGACCTGTGCTGGGGCTGAGACACTGGGGAAGGAGAGATGGCAAGGGTATTGAAAGTATAGACACTATGGAATTTAGTAATGGATTGGATATGGGCGTGAGAAAGAGACATTGATCATGGCTCCCCAGTTTCTGCCTTCTCCAGACATGCCTTCCCTGGAGTTAAACTTTATTGAGGTACAATTTAAGAAACAGTTCAAAGTTTACTCCTCTGGGCTGTTTACGTACCCTCCAGATCCTCACCTGGTCCCGTGCCACCATCATTGCCAGAAATGAGTTGGTAACTCATGCCAAACCATTCCTCCACTTTTCCTTGCAGTCAGAGTCTGATTTTGTTCAGGTGAGTCCCTTCCCCAGGTGACCAAGGGAAGGCTGGCCTCAGCCCAGTCTAGGAGGAAGTCCCCTTTTGGCTCAAGTCCATTGTGATGGTTGCATTCTTCTTGCCAGTGATAGTTTGGGCTTGGACATGTGACACAGATCCAACCTGAAAAACCTAGAGGTCAAGCCTCTGGTGGGGAGGCGACTTCTGCTAAGGATCTCTTCCCTTTCAAAAACTCTGCCCCCTTTCCTGATCGTGTATGTGTTTGGTGGTGATGGTTGGAGCTGCAGCAGCGAACTTGCTCCCAGTCTGAGGATGCAGCCAACACATGACTGAGGCTGGGAGAGTCCTAGGGAAGAAGGGCTGGTGCTCTGACGCAGGCATAGACTTTTGGATATATGAGGTGGCCCACCTTATTGCTTAAGCAAGTTGAATAGGGCTGTGCTTTCCGTTGGCAACCAAAAGAATCCCATATAACACACCAATATGCATACCCAATATATTTTTTTTTGTAAGGAGGGGAGCGTCTAAATTATTGAAGTATTTGAAGAGAAATGTAAAAAGGCTTGATGATGGATGGACAGGCTTCATTTATTCAACATATAATCTATCCTCTTCTATGGCAATGGAGCAGCCGGCCAAATGGCTGGTCTGCTAGAGACCGCACTTTCTAGTTGCTCTTACTGCTGACTGTGGCTTTGTGACTAAGTCCTTTCTAATAGAACATAAATAGAAACAGTCCTTAAGGCATTGGGCTTTTGCTCTGCCATGCTCCATTTCCTCTTCCTTCGAGCTGGAACACAGATGTGCCAGGCACCGAGCTTCAATAATGCTTCAAAGGGGCTGACAGAGCAAATATAAGGAACCTGAGCTCTGAATGACGACATGGAGTGGAATCACCCACCCACGCGGACTAGAGAAAGAGAAATAAGCGTGCATTTTCGGTAAGCCATTGTATTTTGGGTCTCTTTCTTGCAGCAGCTTGGCCTACCCCATGCCATCCCACTGCTGTTTTTAGAAGAAGCTCTGTTACTATGTGATGCTGTTGTCTGAATCCTTTCAAATAGCTAAGCTCCCCTTGCTCTGTAGCCCCAACCCCTTCCCAAATGTATGGAATATGGTTTTCTCTGGCTGTAAGTCAGTCTCTTGATGTTTTGCAGTGTTTTCCGCTTTTAGTCTTTTTACCCTTCCAGCAGTCCTTCTGCTGGCCTTACACCATCTCGGCTAAGATGTGGAGCATACATTCACTCAAACTGCTGGTGATAGTTAAGCTTGGCAAGCCATTGCTCTTCCTGGATCATTGTTTCCCCAACTTGATGTGGTCAAGGGGTCTGAACTGAGACGGGGTGGTCCTGACCGCAGTGCATGCTGACTGCTTCCATCCATACTCTAAAAAATAACTTCAGGAATTTTTCTTTTTAAAAATTATCCGAGAGATCTTGTTAAGTGGAAAACACACACACACAGATACTCAGACACAGACCCACAGTCACACATAGGCACACAGCCATTATCTGCCTAGCAGAGATCTGCGGAACTCAATAGCAGTTCCAACGGTGTTTATCTGTGATCTAGGATTATGGAGGGGACATTATGCATATAGCACTGTTTATTATTTAATTTTATAATCAGAAAAAATAAAGACACAAACGTCATTATTCATGGATTCCATATTTGCAAATTCACCTACTTATAATTTTTTTCTCTTTAGAGAGGGGAAGAAAGAGAGAGAGCAGGGGGAGGGGAAGAGGGAGAGAGAACCTTAAGCAAGTTCTATACCCAGCTTGGAGCCAGACCCGGGGCTCGAAATCACAACCGTGAGATCATGACCTGAACTGAAACCAAGAGTGGGATGCTTAACCCACTGAGCCACCCAAGCGCCCTTCACCTATTTGTAAATCTATTTGTAACCCCAAATCAATACTCGAGGAACTTCTGCAGTCACGCAAGGATCCACGCATGCACGGAGTCGTGAAAATTTAAAGTTGCCTGATGTACCTGTTCCCAGCTGAGGTCCAACGAGGTGACGCTCTGCCTTGTTTCAGCCCTCATACTGTAAACAAGTGTCTTTTTCGTAGTCTATTCAGTGCCACATTTTTCTTATTTGGGGGCTTTTTTTGGGTGCTATTGCTGTTTAAACGGGCCCCCAAGGGTAGCACTGAAGAGCTGTCTAGTTCCTAAGCGGAGGGAGGCTGGGATGAGCCTCAGGGAGAAAACACGTGAGGTAGATGAGCTTCGTTCTGGAATGACTTATGGTGCTCTTGGCCGTGAGTTCAGTGCTAATGAATCAACAATATACATTAGATAAGGTGTCTTTAAACAGAAACACACATAAAACAAGGTTATGTATTGATTGGTTGATGAAAGTGTGGCCAGAAGAATGCTGTATTTCCTCAAGGGGCAATGATTCAGTATTTCCTATTTCAGTCTTTGTGGCAACTTTACAGAACACAGCTACTGTGAGTAATGAGTGGACTGTATTTAAAATTGTTGTTGTATCCAATAGCATCCACCACTACAAGGTACCAACAGCCATGTTCTTCTCCATCCAGGGTCCACGGGCTCAGGTTTGCTCCAAAGGGGAGGGGCAGGAGAAGGAGTACTGACTGAGCCTGTCCTGTGTACCAGGCACTATGCTAGGTGCTTGGCGGTGTGGTTTAATTTAATCCTCACAACCACCCTCCAGACTTGCTGTTTTTCTCCCCACTTGCAGATAAGGACCCTGTAGCTCAGCGGGGTGAATGACTCGCCTAGCACCAGACCAAAGAGGAGGCACAGGCTTCTACACCCTGGGCTGATGGAGAAGATTACACAGTGTGCAGCCTGGAACTGGGCCAGATCTGCGCCCTCAGCTCTAGCCAATGGTCTCCGTCCCTCCCCATTCCAAACCTTCACCTGTCTCCTCAAGCCCCATGGACACACCCCTGCTCCTTTCTCTGTGGGGGACCTTGCCTCCCCCTCCATGAAGAAAGGAGACGCCCTTCTCCGGGGGCTTCTCAACTTCCAGTCCCCTTCAACCTATCAACTTCGCTGTAGAAAGACTTCAAGCCCTTTGTGAAATGAGGCAGAGTGTAATATAAACAAATGGATGAAGCCAACGCATTTATAACTTTATTCATCCTCACTTCCTTTCCTCGAGCCCGAGGGTGAGGTGTGCCTTCTGTTCAGAATGAATTCCTCCACCTGGGCCCTGTCTAATCTCCTCAGAACTCCCCTGGGACCCAAGTCCTTCAAAGGTCCCCCTCTCCAGTGTCTTTGTGTTTCCCCTCTCAGCATTGGCTCCTTTCCCTCAGCTGTGAGCATGCTCACCCTTCTGCGAACAGCCCCTCTCCTCTGGCTCCCACCTCCTCTCTTGCCTCTCCCCACCCCAGCCTTTTGAAAGCATCCCCTGCACACCCTCATCAACCTCCGGCAGCCTGGCTCTACTCCCTGCCACTCACTGAGGTCGCTAATAATCTCCTAATTGCCAATTAAAGAGAGCTGCTAATACTCAGTCGCTGCGGCAGAAAAACAAAATACAGAGAAAAATTAAAAGGAAACTTGAAATATTCATGACTGCACCACCCAGAAAGAACTATTGACAATACTTGTTTATATCCTTGTAGACCTTTGCACATTATACATGCTTGTGCGCATGCACAC